CCGGCAGCTGCGGTAGCCGGGGGAGGGATGTGCACATTCGAGGCGTCCAAGAGAAGCTGCGAGAGGTAGAGCATATTCGAGCTGGGCTGACCCTCCACAGAATCAGGCTGCGCGGACTCGAGTGGAAGTTTAGGTACGATGGGCATGAAACACTGAGAGTACATCATCGGTTGGGTAGCTTCACCGCCGAGAGAATAGCGCGAATCCGGAATTGCTGAAGCAGAGGTGGAACCAGCATCTATCGATTGCGCAGATGTAGGATGAGAAGTAGAGTGATCAGACACGTTTGCACCAGGCGGTTGAGAAAGGTGCATAGGGAAAGCGAGAGGAATGTAGCCGAGTGAGGGAGACTGAGCCAAGGAGCGTGTTCTGATACCACTGTCGACTTGCAGGGAATACACGGAAGAAGAAGAGGAAGAAGAAGAACTCTCGGATGGAGCTTGGGCAGCGGGGCGAAGAGGAAGAGAGAACGAGGTGCCGGGCTTCGCGATTTGCACATAAGGTACGGTAGGAGCAGGAAGCTCAACAGCGGAGTCGGAGATAGGTACCGCAGCGTATTGCTTTCTCTTGCGCTTCTCTCGATGTCCAGTGTCTTGATGAAATTGAAGGAGCCGATGGATGGAGATGGTACCTCCCAGATCCGCTTGCTGAGCACAACCGGAGCCAGAGTGATCCGCTGCCGACAAGGTACTAGCCGTAGTAGACGCAGGTGCCGACTTCGGTTCCGTCTCCTTCTTGCGTTTCGTGGTGGAGCCTTCACCACCACTTTTTGCCCGCCCTTTGCGGTGTCGACTAAGCCAGTTTCTGATCCACCGGACGTCCCTGCAAGCCGCATATATGGGAGCACCCATTAGTCACAGCATATGGTCCACTTCAAGCTCACGGGTGACCCACAGTCCAGTCTCTTTGCTAGTCTGCAGAATTTCTTCCTTCGGCGGGTTCTCGCCAGCCCGCCGCAGAAGTTGGTGCAACGCAGCGACCTGCCAGGGCGCCGCCACGACCTTGTCGCGCACGGGTACGGTCTCACCGACTTGAAACTGGATGATGGTCTCCGAGTGGTCTTCGTTGCGGCTCATTTGCGCGACAACTGAAGCCGAATCCGTGTATGAGGCCTTCGGTTTTGCGCGGCGAGGATGGAGGGAGAGGTCAAATTCGACGGGGTGGCTGAGAACGAACGTGGGCAAGTGCGGAGCGTGAATCGTCTAAATGATCTTGCTCCTTCACTGTGATCCCGCGAAGGTTCCACTAATTATGTACGCATGTGGGCGTGAGCAAACCATAACGCACAGCGAGGATATGAAGAGCTCATATACTGCACTTGTTACATCACAGGTACTGTACAGTAGACAGATGCGAGAACACTAATGATACAGATAAAGAGACACAGTGATCCCTCAGCCGAGATCAAACATATGTTCTGCCTCACGGCGCAAACCAACGGGCGTCAGACATGGCCCGTAGATGTTCACCCTGACATCGCTACCATTTGCCCATGAGCCTGCCAGCAGCCCACGCTGTGCCACCTCCGCCTACCGGCACCAACAGCATCCACACACCGAGGTCCCACACCAATCTCCTCCCGAGGCGCCTCCGCTGCAGTGTGCGCTCCTTGCGCTGGAGAAGCTCATCGTTGCGCGTCTCGCTCAGATCAGAGCCTGCGCTCGGGAGACCGGGACTTGAGAATGCAGTCACGGGCGTGCTGGGAGGAATGATGATGGACAGGGGGCTGCGGAAGTTGTGGATGATGATGTGTAGAAGCGCAGGGAGCATGTACGTGCTGAGGAAGGCGAGCAGCCAGACGGCATCGCTGAGGGCACGTGCGACGGAGGCAGGGACGAGCGACAGCGCCATAACAACGATGTAAACCAGGATTCGGGAGATAGGAAGGCGGGTAGCGCGGCGGATGATAGAAGGCAGAGGAAGCGCAGGTGTCGGGATGAGAATGTATGGTACAGAGAGCGCAAGCGTGGCTGTTTCGAACAGGGCTTTCGCAACTAAAGCGCTTTCGGGCCCCGTAACTTGTGGATCCGGGGATTGAACCGGTTTCTGTTGTGACTTCGGAGCATAAGCATGTAACAGCATTATATACATTCTACTATGACACTCACCGCTGGGACGTTGACGGGTTGGAAGAAGATGAGGGGGAGTATACAGGTAACCGCTATCCCCACAGATAGAGCGGAGAGGAGTTTGAATGACTGAGATCGCCGCGGGCGAGGGCTCAAGGGTTCTGATGTACCACGCAGCGCCATGTACAAGGAAGTAGTAGAGGAGGTAGTGAAGGCGAAGGCGATTATCGCTGCAGACTATGAGACGGCGGCCAAAACATCCAGGAATACAGCGACTCACAAACACCCTGCCACATTGCACCTAAAGACACGGGAGCCGAACCGCTGACTAGGATGCCTTGGGAATGCGAGTAAGCCGTACATATGAACCATGCCGCGTAGGTTGCTAGGGATGCCCAGCTTGCGTAAAGGACGCGTGTTGCGGCCAGCGATCGCGCAAAATACAGCGGTGCGACGAGCGAGCCAATTGCGAGAGTGACCAGGAGACCTGTGGGTAGCCCGAGCGTCTCCGGTAGTAATGGCAGAAAGACGTCAACAGATGCTAGGAAAGTATATCAGCGGGAAATTCAACGAACAATGCTGGGGTGAGAGATGGAATTCACAGCCTGAGTGGAAGTGCACATCCACCGTCGAGTGCGCACCGGACGACGGGCAGCCGGCTAACAAACTAATGTCGAATGTAAACACGCAGCAAAGCATTGTGAACGTCTCCATTGGCTTATGCGCGGACGCCAGTACGCTTACCACATTGCGCGGTGCATCACGACGATCCGCACGGTAGTCACAGACGAGGATCGACCCAATGAAATGACAACTTCAAATGATCACAGAATGCGCCGCATGGCAGACCATGTAACACCCCGCGCGCGAACCAATGCCCACCGAGCTTGAAATGGTGGCCTATTCTCGGAATGGCGAGATGCTGCTCACCTCGTGTATACATCGCCGCCATGAGCACTCGGAATACACCCGCAAACAAGCGGACGAGCTGTCGGAGAGCCAACCTCCGTCCCTCCTTTCTCCGGTCCCGCGCGAACGTCTCGAGCACAATTTCTTCCAGATCCGCTCGCCGGACATACCTCGCCAGCATGTACCAAATTTGCCTCGTGAAGAGCGTTAAGGCGGCAAAGAAGAGCAACGCAGGTACAGCAACCTTCAAGGGAAGGCCAACATTGGGCAGAAGGATCGCCCCAAATTTGAAGAAGGGTGAGAGCAGGTAGAGGAAAACCGAGATCGACGAGAGCGGAGGGAACGCCGACGCTTGGATACGGTCGACGCCATCGTTGTCTTCCTCGGAGTCGTACTCGTCATCACTGGATATGCTAAATGGGGTACTAGCAGCAAGATCGTCGTTGTCCGGGACCAGGATGAGCGCCGCAGACGAGTCGAAGCCCTGGATAGGTGAGCTGCGCCCGGAGTCGTCGGAGCTGCTCGACGGGCGGCGGCTACTGCTGGCCATCGCTGCGAGGGCGTGGAGGGGCGTGAAAGAGCGTGAGGAGGCAGAGGCCAGTCTGCGGGTGCAGGCCCGAGCTATAACTTAGCGGGGATGGTGCAAGTAGACTCGGGCGCTGCGCAGGCCCGCTCGAGGCACCGAGCCCAGCGCTTGTTTCCCACGGCAACTAGCATACCCTTCCTCTCCTCCGAGTCCTCGTCTCCGCCGCACGTCCGACCTTGAACGCAGCTCGCAGCGACGCAGCCAGAGCGGACGCGAGTACGGGAACATCATCTCCACAAAAGCAATTACAGAGAACGTCCAGATGCGCATTGTAAGTGTATTATTGTCACGAATAACATCTACGAATAACAACACTCTACTTCGACGCGTCGGACTGCTTTGGTGCCTCGCCATCCTGGGCACAACGACGTTAGCATCCGCATCAGAGGCTCTGGTGTGTCCTCACCTTGGACGTCTTGCGAGCATCACCGAGATCCGAGGGCGACTCGTCCCCCTTCTTCTCCGAGGGCTTGTCCTTTGGGTCGGGCTTGGTCTCAGCCTCAGGGGCACCCTCTACCCCCTTGTCGTCCTTCGCCTGCTTCTCCTCGGAGGTTTGAGCGTCTACGGGCGAGTCTTCGTTCTATCATGTGCATATATTGGTATGTGTTCGCGTAGATTGTCAGATGGGCTCACGAAGCTCTGCTCCATCGACTCATTCACCTCCTTGGCGGAGATGGTCTCTCCCTCAGCATCGGTGAGTGAGCCATCCTCAGGCTATAACGCACGTCACTACAATCACCCTGGCACCGAACTGAGTACACACCTTCTTTTCCTCCTCAGACGAGTTTGTGTCCTTCGAATCGGCGCTTGTCTTCTCTCCCGATGACGGCTCGGGCTCCTGCGCCGGCTCGGGTTGCTTGCTCTCGCCGACGGTATGTGCGCCGCGGTCAGCCTGGCTGAAGGCGACGTCGTGCGTTTTCTTGTTTGACTGGGGCAAGAGCAACCAGACAGCCTATGAGTTGCAGCGAGCAGCATCAGCGCTCTGTTCTATTCGCGTGACGTACCCCGAGCATACCGCCGGACCAAACACGACCGCAGAGCCAATCTACAACAGCAGTGTTAGTGAGAATCACCGCACGAGTTATTCATCGAGGCACCGGAGACTTACGATCCATGGCGTGTCACTGCTCTTTGCAGCGTGTCCACTGCTGCTCATACCTCTTCTGCCCGTGGTCCGCGCCGCGCCGCGAACGCTTGGGCGAACAGCCTGCGCAAAAATCCGTCCTCCAAGTCGCGAAGCCATTGGAAGCAAGCCAATTGTGATGAGTACGAGGAGGAAGCTTTCGACTGCAGAAGCCGGTTTGCCAGCTCGCCGTCCCACAGCGCGTCTTCGGACAGTCCCGGTGCCGGTGGTTCCTCGGTGACGTCAACTAATATTTCATTACTGGCTAAGCTTGCCAAGAGGTTATGTGTAATTTATGATCTAGTGTACGCAAGCCCGCCTAGCTCAATCGGATAGAGCGTGAGACTTTTAGGGCTAGGCTTTCGGTTAAGTCCAAAAATCTCAAGGCTGCGAGTTCGAGCCTCGCGGTGGGCTAAAAGTTACCTGTTTTTTGCTTGACGACCTCATCCAACTCATGGTCTTTCCCCAGGCCGCCGGAAATCGTCCTCGTAACTGTATACATTGACTGTGACCCTAGCTCTCGAAAACACCAAAGCTATGCGTACATTCCACGTCTTCGATTGATTGGATTCAGCCCAGGCCCTCACCAACCACTCTCCCGCCAGATGCGTCTTCCAACGCGATTTTGCAGTGCGCACTCAGAGTGCGACACAGCGCGTAATGGTGTTGATTATGTGTAAGCAACACAGCACCTTCTCGCCCGATTGTACATGTATGACACCACTGCAGCAGTACATACGCGGGAACCTTCAATCTCTTCATTCGCGAGCTCGGTGCCAAGTTCAGCCTGGAAGCTTGTTATGGTCGGTTTCGCAGGGTTCTACGATTGCGAAGGGCCCCAAATCGCTCGCTTCGCGATTTCATCTATGAAGGTTGTGCCAGGGTTAGTGGACACTCGGTCACAATCGCAATAGAACAGCGGCGTACAGTAGGCTCACACGTGGACAAAGAACGCCAGTCGCTGGCAGAACAGCTTGAAATCCAAAGGGCTTGACCCGCAAACTTGCGCATATGCACTGTGATGACTATGCATACTCTTCATGCCAATATCGACACAATCTCGAGGGCACGGTACGCACCTCAGGTCACCTGTTCTCCCGACGTCTCATCAGCATACAAGTTTACGGCAACACGGCATGCGATCCACACGAGGGACAGTGCATCCATATCTTACTTCGTTGAAGGCTTGATAGCAGCCTCTCCTGTAGTTCGCTCTACGGGGCCTGCCCACACTATCGCACCTGGCCGTAGTCTTCTGTAGGCAGCCCCTATGCACGCAAGTTGTTGAGAGGAGAGGATGGGCATATAGTCTAGAGGTGGTACGTCCTCCAGCAGTCACCCTGCTTGAGGGTCCCGATCTAGTTATCAGCTAAGATTCACTGCAGGTGATTCGAGTCATGGTACCCTGCAAACAAGTTGACCCTTGACGGTCGACGACCACTGTGTCCCGCCTGCTATGACTGCTGGAATTGGGACAGTATTTTCCTAATGATGATGCGACATATCCGTGTTTATCGTCGCTGTCTAGACAGTTCGTCATCAGGGTCTTTTTGGAGTATGTGTCATTGGTGGAGACCGTATGTCAATAGCTTCGTGCCGTTATATTGATGCTTGACGTTTGGATCTAGATGCTGGCATCACCCGTGTACTGCTCTATATGCGTACTGCAAAGGCGACGTACAGACAATTTACAGCGAAGAGGCAACTCGCTGTCGCCATTTCAGTGCCTTGTATTCGCTATACCATTAGACAACGCTGGACAAATGGCATACAGCCACCACTGGGTCAACGGAGGGAACCACTTCACTCTTCAGGTTCGTCGAACAAGACTGTTCACCCATGTGCACCTACGTAGGCTCTCATTGCATGATGCAACAGTAAAGAGTGCAAGCTCACTCACATGCAATACAATGTAAGTCCTCACCACATCATTCTATTCCCCCAACAATCGCTGAATGCTCCCGTAGCCCTCTGACGGGACACGTCATGTGGTAAGCACCACCGCGCAGAGATACTTGCTATGTTCCATGACCCCCATGCAGTCAAGAACAGTAGACCCCATCGATTTGACATTGGTGCATCGTTGTGGATGGGCAGGGTCATTTTGTTGGTGCACTGGTGCGCACGACAAGTCCTGTCCACCTTCTGTCATAGCAATCCGTCAAGGTGTTAACTCGAGCAGGCGCACCGCCATGAGCCAACAAGGGACAGAGAGCTAGCGGAGGCGAGGAGCAATGATCTCATGGATATATGAGGTGCGTCGTCAGTCTAGGTATAGGATGCCAGGCATTTGTGTGTTGTTTCAAAAGGCAGGGTAGAGCGGTGAGCTGGTGCGTAACCAACATCCAGATTACTTTCTGTCTCAGCAATCCAGCCGAGGCATTGACCCGAGAGGACCCGGTGGAACGCAGAGGGAAAGCGAGCTCAAGGATCAAGGTGTGTCGTACCCATCTCACTTGTATGCACACGGGCGGAAGGCAGGGGGACAGCGATGACAGGGTTCCTCGCTGCGGGGTACTGGAGTGAAGACGCCCTAGTAGCGTGCTCCCCATGACAAAGTCTCCGTCGGTGGATGTTGCCGACATATCTGCATTCATCCACCCTCGCCCGAGCTGGCGGGCTGGGGAGTGGTACGAGGATGTGGCATCCACGCGCGAGGCGACCTTCGCAGACACCGCTGGTGGTCGTCTGGCCGCGGACACCAAAGCTTCTCGGTTATGTGGCAATTGAATTCACGCCCATAAATCAGAGCAAGCGCGAAGTTCCGTTGTAACACTTTGTTTGACATTTTCTGGCGGGTGGACTTGGAGCGCAGCTGACTACGGCAGGATCTCGGTCAAGAGCTTCTGCTGAACGCATGCCAGACGCCGCTTGCTCAAAAGTCAGCATGAGAGATGGATATGTCCGGTTCTTCAGCGCCGAGTCAGCTGAGATCAGGTGGCCTCCGCACTGCAGCTTACGACTTATCAGCAATGATACCATTCAAAACCCGTTCCGTGTGAGCCATGTAGGACACAGTATGTCTGACAGCTTGCATGGAAGGTACACTGACACTGCCATTCGTGAAGCATATGTAGTTGTCCGACGCCCTCGACTCCGTCCTTCCCCCTCTTGCTTCTCTCTCTCCTGTACGACACTGTCCTGTCTCACGCGGCCCCATTGCTGATGACGCAAATAAATAATGCCTTCAAGGAACCATGACTATGATAGTCTTTTGATAGGTGGACTCATGAAGGCGGACAAAAGTCCCGCGTTCGTTCCACTGTGCAGGTGAGTGAGCCATACTCAGGCTATCGGTGGACGTTCGTGGCTAATTGTGTTTTGTATTTGATGTCACCTATACATCCTCCAGGTGAGGCGATCAGAAAGCCGCAAGGACAGTGGGGTGGCGTGAAGCGTTATATTCATTGCTGCAGTATGCATTCTGTAGTACTGTGGACGTCATCGGCGTGATTGACGTCTACGCCGCCTCATTTCAGACATCTGACTCAATCAGTGTGCGACTCTGTTTATCTAACCGAATGGCATGCAACGACCCGTCCTCGTGTTTCAGCGCACTAGGTGGAACTTCTTTGAAATTCTCATAGAAGGTGTTGACATTCGGCGCGTTCATTCTACTCGCCCGCCAACCCTCATTTCGGCCCATTTCGCGAGGGGAGGACTCAAGGCTGGGTTCTGAGTAACACCCATGATGTTGTGCCCAGGACGCATTGCGTTGGGGCCTAAGGTGCATGGGTGGTACGCTCACGGCGTCTACATTGATGGTATAAGATTCGCTGATGCTAGTGATAGTTGGCACAAGCTTAGGGAAGAACACCCTTGTACGTTGCTCCCATTCCCCCACGAGTTTCTGACCTCGATCCACCAGTTAGTAACAGAGACATGTCCTACGCAAACTCTCCTGATGCCGCCCCCGCTTCTGACCACAGCGCCATGGTATTCTGTTGGTATGGGAACTGCAGTGGTGCACCGATCGCGGACCCGTCCACCAAAAGCATACATAGACATTTCGTGGAATTCCACCGCGACGATGTCTCTACGTCGGCGAGCGGTGACCGGACGAACTGCAAGTGGCACAGCGGGTCTTCCCCCGATCGGAGTTGCGGCGAGGGCCTTTCGAAGTACCATGTCATCAAACATGTGCACAACGTTCACCTCAAGCTGTCCGTCTGCCGCTGCCGCCGCTGCCACCGAGGATTCTCTCGCTCAGACTCTCTCAAGCGCCACAATGCTAACGTCAAATGCAGGCGCAAGCGTCAATGAGGTCAGTGTCACTTCTTATTATCCCTTCCGCTGAACGCTGACTCCATATCCATACTTGCGCCATACAAGGAGCTGCATGGCGAGCTCAGAGTACTTGTGGCGCCAGCAGACAGAGGGTGTACTACAGTCAGCCGGTGTAGATCACTGAAGCACCGTTGACTCGGAACTACTAGTGCTGAAGGTTACAGTTTTGACTATTGTTCTCGGACTCGTGTTTGATTCTCTTTCTTAGCCTAGTGTCTCCGATATTGCCTCAGCTTCAATCTACTCTAGTGTCATGGTCTTCCATTGCAAGTTTATCCCCACTAGTCCGGACTTGCGCCGTTTGTAGAAGTTCCTGCCATATGACAATTCATATGATTCGGATGAGCCATTCTACTGTCACGGTACTCAAGTCGAGGGTAGTACTGCAGTGGATCTGTCATCATCTGGCGGGTTGCCACTCCGAGTCGACCTTGATACTAGTCACGGTCATAAGTCGAGATGCACTGTATGAAGTGCGTGCCGAAGTTCGACCCTCTCCGCCGAATCGTCTCCGAGTCGGCTCTGCCATCCAAGTCGGTCCGCGGGGACATCGCTCAACGGCCCACTTGGAATGAGTCGTCAGACATATTCTACGTCTCCCTACGTACATACATTCTGCAGAGGCACTCAGCGACTCGGAAGCCTCCCGGGGCCCGGATCTACATTTTAGCAGCCACACAGTGGCATGGCCCCGGGAGCCAGCTCGTGATTTCATCCTCGGATCGTCTCGCGGCGAAAGTCGAACCAAATCTTAACAAATCACACAGCCAAATCGAGCGCGCCTCCTGAGTCTTGTGTGGCATGGTCATGTCGCGGTGCTTGCTACTCGACTGCCAGTGTGGAGGCATGGCTAGCGCTGATTCATCATGCTTCAGTTACTAGACTGTTCACGCGGCAGGGCAAATTTCGGGACATGGTTTCTTGGTGGCGAAGCCCTCACCGTGGTTATGAAGCGCATGCAGACTCGGAGCCGAACGTCGTTTGATCGGTGCGTCACGCACATTCATCCGGATCCTCACTACTCTTGATTCCCCACAAGCTCACTTACTATGAGCTGCCAGTAAAGCATAATGCACTGTATCTGAAGGACCGGGGAGATTAATATTGCGGCTCGGGGTACTACAAGG